GGCCTATGTTCCCAACACACACAGACACATGAACACACACGCACACATACACACACACACACGCACACACGTCCAACTGACCTCCAAGTGACGTCAAAGTGACGTTCAAATGTCACTTTGAGGTCGCTTGGACGTTACACACAGACACAAAGTTGGCGTACCAAAAATGTATATTTTAAACAAGAAATTCACTTGGCAGCATGTTTTAGGGCATGATCTTGCATTTTAAGGCATTTCGGGGACTTTTTATTTTTATGGATTTTTTCACGATGGTAAGGCTATAGTAAGGCATGTTTTGGGTGATTTTTTAAATGTTCATATAAAATACTTTTTGGACTTTTAAACACACAATATTCACTTGGCAGCATGTTTTAGGACCTAGTCTTGCATTTTAAGGCATTTCTGGGACTTTTTATTTTTTTGGATTTTTCACGATGGTAAGGCTATAGTAAGGCATGTTTTTGGTGATATTTTGAAATATTCAGATAAAATATTTTTCAAATAGCATTTGAGCATTTTTAAAATAAATTTTAGGAAACATGTTGTTGGCAAATGTTTGGCAAAATCTGAATTGGTCATGTTTTGGTCAGATGGTGCAAAATGTTGATGAAAATCTTTAAAAGAAAATTCAGAATTTTATTTTCTCTGCTTGTTTCTCATTAAATTAGAGCATTTCGTAAAAAAATCATAAAAATCTAATTTGGTCAACATTAAAGACGGAAATAAACTACAAAGCACTAACCTCAATGATACATTTAAAGTAAATGTCATGTTGCAGTAATAATGCCATGTAAAACGCATCCCAGCAGAGCACTGATGTATATACAATTCTTCAGAGATCTGTAAAACAAACAGCAAAAAGTCAACACCAATTTTTCATCAGCAATTTTGTCAACAGAAACATAGCAATGGAAGATTATTGGCTGATTTGATCGACTGTGTTTCTTCAGTAACATCAGCTCGGAGGGTAGGAAACAAAGGACACATTAACTAGTGCATGTTCATTAAAACCAAGTTTTGAAATCTTGATCTGCTTCACCTATTTTTTTTACCATCCCAGAATATATTCCTGATTTTTTTTTCTAGAAACCTGTATTTGCATAATACCCACAACCCGCACCCCCACCCCCACTAGCACACAAACACAACG